TCTTGCCTTGGAGGGTTGCCCGGGGCTGGTCCAGCCTGCCCAGGGCAGTGGTGGAGTCCCCGCCCCTGGAGGGGTTCCCAAGCCGTGGAGATGTGGGGTGAGGGACACGGGGCAGTGGGGACCTGGCAGTGCTGGGGGGTGGTTGGACTCAAGGGTCTTGAGGGCCTCAAGAAGAATTCTGTTTCTATGAGCACAACACTACAAAAGGCAAGATGGAATCTTAGAATTAACTATTGATTTTTAATGAATGACTGGATCAGTTTCACAGCCTGGGGAATCAGGGTTTGTTATGAGGACACAGACTGTTGTTGAGATGCTAAGGGAAGAACTGCTCCACCATTTGACCTCCAGGACAGGCCTGGCACCTTGCAGAGATGTGCTGGGCAGGGACCAGAGGCTGGCTGAGGACCAGCCTCTTGCAGGACTTTACCCCTGGTTTGTAGGAGATGGGGAAACAGTTTTGAAGCCTGAGAAAGTAAATCTAGGGGTAAAGAGATGAAAGGTTGGAGCTGGCTCAGTTCAGTACTCACCAAAGTCAGGAAGACCATGAGCCTGGCTAACTCTGCAGTCCTCCCATTCACAGCTTTACTGGCCATGAAAGTGAAGCAAATGTTGTTTCCACTCAGGATGAGCAGCCGAGCATTGTTCTCCACCAGCCACTCCCGGGGAACAACTGGGTAATAAACCAGAGAGAGCTTTAGTGATCTTTGAACAAAAAGAACACAGCACCACAATAACTCCTCTGGAGGACTTGAATTGCTGAGCTGTTGGCTCACCAGGATTTGTGAGGGAACACCCTCAGGAATACAACTGCAGCAGTGAAATCATGTGAGCAACTCCTGCTGGCAACACAGAGCTCCCCACCATGGCCTCTGTGCCACCATCTCACCCCAAACTAACTTTCAGTGTAGCCACTAACATTGCTCAGTAGAATTTTGGCTTGAACAAAAGTTCTCAGCTTACACAGCTTGGACAATGTTCCCTTAATAATGGGTAGGCAAAGCTTGAATTGTTCAAGGTCTGCTGGATTCTTAAATATTCCACAATGGGGATAGAGAGCCTGAGGCTGTGAGCAGTGCTGGGTTTCTCTCACCCCTGGCTGCTGCCTGGCTTCCCAGTGTAATGACTTTCCCAGTTACACCACAGCCACTGGGAGGAACAGCACAGGCAGTTTCCTGTGGTCTGAAACCACACATCTTGCCAGATCTGGAGGACAGGAGTTTCTAATCCTCTGGATTAGTGAAAAAGACAGAACCACACCTGAGAGCTCATCCACCAGGCTGATAACATCATCTGCTGTCCACTCTCGAGCCTCTGTGTCATACAGCAGCTTGATTGCCTCTGCCAGGCCTCTCAGGCTGCTCTCATCTGTTGGGCCTTCTATCATCTTCTGCCAAACCACGTGTCCTGAGCAACACATTAACCACAACTGCTATTAAATGACAAAGTTGTTGGTTTTAGGGTGTTTTTTTTTTTAAACAAGGAAGATCCTAAATGGGGCCTTACAGCAGAGCCATAGGGGTGGGATTTGGGTGACAGGGAGATGATTTTCTCCATCTGTCATTTTCACAGGAGCAGTGGCAGTTGCAGCATGAACCAAAGGGCAGGTTAAAGGAACCCAGGTCTAATCATTAACTGAGAGACATGGTTTTCTCTCATGCTGCTTTGAGGGGCATTCAAACTGACTCTGCCCTAGGCAGGGGAGAATGGAGGAACAGAAGTGCAAGTTCTTCACTTGAGTTATAACTTTTATATACCCACACATATGTATCTCATTTGTGTGCTTTATGTACCTTGGGCCTGGTGAAGCAGAACTCTTTTCTAGGCAGTACAATTACATTTTATTCCCACAAACCTTGCAGCAATGCTGCACCCTGCAAGGGAACCTCACTCTTGGGGAACAAGCTTTGAAAATTAAACCCCCCACCCCCCGGCCACGACTACTCGCCATCCAGAGAGGACACTGGCCCGAAGATGATGTACAGCAGCCGAGCTTGATTGACGATGGGCCACGGCTTGAGGATCCGTGTCAGCCAAAAGGCGGAGTCGCTGCGGTGCAGCCAGTGGTTGAGCAGCACCCCCCGGCAGTACAGCCGGATCCGCAGCTCCAGCTTCCGAGCGCTCCCTGCCGTGCGAGAGGAGAGGTGGGGAAGCCCAGTCAGCCTCGGGCAAGAGAGGGAGAGAGGAGGATTCTCTTAAAGCTGCCCGAGAGGGTCTAGGGGGATTTAATTACATTCGTTCGGGTAAGTTGCACTAGTTCGTGTCTGTCGTCGTTACAGGGGCTGGGACCAGTTTATCGTTGTGTGGGTAGAACCAAAATCTGTGTGTTCTGCACCCTCTGTGCCACTGCTGCTCACAAACCATGGGAGCAGCTGCCCAGGACACACCTCACACCCCAGGCTGCAACAGGCAAGGAAGGAGATCCTGGGGGGTGTTCATACCCAGGGGGAGGAGTCCCCTCTGCTCATGGACCACCATGGACCCAGAAGGATTAACCCTCCCTGTTCACTGCATGGCTTTATTTCTGTGCTGGCTCCTTGCCTGTTGATTTTACTGGCACTGGTGTAAGATCTGAGTCCATGTTGTTGGTTACATGTGTCCATAATTTACACATGGGTTTGATAATGGAATGATTTAAAAAAAAAGACCCTCAATACCTCTCAGTAGAACTCTCTTCACTATAGGCTGTATCAGAGACAAGAGCACTTATGTTTGCTTTCAGTGATGAAAAAAATAGCTGTATTTGTCTACACAAAGGCCAAAAGTTTGCTTTGGGGTGCCCAATTTCTGCCAAATGTGGGAGCTGACAGAATGTACACAGGTCAGGGAAGGATTGGTGCTATCAGGCAAAAACACCCTCAGTTCTGGCCACGCTTTGTGTGCAGTGATCACGACCCATTTTCTGACTTCTCCCTGCTAGCAGGTTTTGATTTGCAGGGCTCTTGTTGCTCTGATTACCTGGTTTGCTGCTGACAACTGTCTGCACCTTGCGGGGTAGGTTGCTCAGCTCACAGAGGAAGTTGAAAACCCGGTGACACTCCAGCTCATCCCAGCCTGCTGTGAGGATCTGGGGGTTCAAAAAGAAAGGGGCAAAGACTGAGCTATACATTTAGACCACAATGCTATTTGTCGTGTTAGAGCAAGACAAAACCTGTCCTGTGATTTCTCAGAGGAGCAGAGAGGGAAAGGTAGTCACATCTTTTGTCTTATCAAACACTTCAGTGCTGCATATGCATAAGACACCAGCACACACAAGTTTCTCAGCCTTAAATGCATTTAAAATGTGCTCAAAATCCCTGCTCTTCTGAGAGAGGGTTTGTTTCTGCAGTTTTCTTTCAAAAAATTGCTCCCCAGTAAAGCCTTGGGAATGACAACTCCACCACTCCACCACTAAACCTCTCAGAGAGCGTTGCCCAGGTCCTGCCCCCAGCATTTCCCTGTGTGCCTGCACCCCAGGGGCCAGTGCAAAGGAGCTGTGGATTGCTGAACTAATTCATTTCACACTGATTTTCCATATTTTTTTGTTTAGATTAACTTTAAGCTACCACAGGCTAACAGAAAACATTCTGGCCTGTGATGCGTGCAGGCATTTACTTCTAAACAAAACCATCCCTGCTCTTGCTTGGCTGGGGAAGTTGAAGCTGTGTCATAAAATGCTCCCCTTCCCCCCACCTCTTCCTAGATAATAAATCGCTAATCAAAACCCAGACTGGCTGGTCCTGAAATCCAGGCCAAGGAATTCTCCAGAGGCAAATCAGCAGCTATTACAACCAGAAAGGAAATTTGGAGAACTGTGTGAACGTGTACCTTCCCCCTTCCTCCCCAAGGCTCAAAACCATCTTCTATTTCTGAATAGCTTGCAAAAACACAGATTAATTTAGAAAGCAACCTTAATTTTCTTTTATATTTATATCTATTTCCTAGTTCTTATATATTTATGACTTGCCTTCTCTCCACAAAGATACTGTACCTGTAAAAACACCCCATAGCACTGCAGTCCTAAGCAATGCAGAGGACTTGGACAGCCAATAAGTTTAAAACAGGAAACCTGCAAGTGCAAAACATTAGTAATTTATCTTAACTGGCCAGGAGCTAATTCCTGTCTTTCAAAATGATCTGCAAATAAATAGCTGAAATTCAGGATTCTCCTATTGTGCAAGGAACAGGAGAACTTGGAGTCTCCTTAGTTCCAGTCATAGGAACTCTGTTATGGTTTAGCATTAAGATGAAAACTGTGCTCAGATGGGTCTGCAAAAGGTCTCCAAGAATCACAGAATGGCTTCAGTTGGAAAAGAATTTTAAGATCCTTAAGTCCAATCCTTCCCCCAGCACTGTCAGGTCCCCACTGCCCCGTGTCCCTCAGCACCACATCTTGACAGCTTTGAAACCCCTCCAGGGGTGGGGACTCCACCACTGCCCTGGGCAGCCTGGCACAGCCCTGGGCAACCCTTCCAGTGAAGAATTTTTCCTCATAACCAACCTAAACCTCCCCTGGGGCAAACCAAGGCCATTGAGAGCCACCCTGTCTTCAGGAAAGTAGAATTTCTCTGGAGAGCTCTGCTCTTCCACTGCAACATTTACTGTAGTCCACAAGCTGAAGCAAAGTTGAAAACCACTGTCTGTGGAATGTGAAATCTCCCTGGAACAGCCTTGTGTCCAGCACGCTGGCTTGGGCTTCTCTGTTGTTATTAAAGAGACTAAATCAATACATTCATTACACAGCAGTAATAAACCCCAGCAAATGGACAGTAAAAGGCATAATTGAACTAATCAAGGCAGTTTTTTCACAGAAATGGTTTTGTTAAGGGCCAGGGACAGTTTGAAATGCTGGTGAAAGGAACGTGAACTTACTTCTGAGAGAATCTTGTGGATATACTTCAGCCTGTCCTTGGTGGGCAGCAGCAAGGTGCATCGTTTCAGCAACAGCCCTGTGAAGGAAGCAAGTGGGTGTGTGATGCTGGTGAGTGTGCACACGTGGCACACACGTGGCTGGCTGGCTCAGCACTCGTGTCACACGTGTGCACACAGCAGTGAGGGAACGCTGAGGGAGCAGCCCAGGGGGCTGTGCTTTAGAGAGCCACAGATTCAGGATGGTTGGAAAAGATCTCCAAGATCAAGTCCAACCATCGACCCAACAGCACCAGGGCCACTAAATCACATCCCCCAGTGCCATGGCTATGTGGTTTTTGAACCCCTCTAGGGCTGGTGACTCCAACACCTCCCTGGGCAGCCTGGGCCAAGCCCTCACCACCCTGCCAGGGAAGAAATTCTTCCTCATACCCAACCAAACCCTCCCCTGGTGCCACTTCAGCCCATTGCCTCTCATCCTACTGCTGGTTACTTGGGAGAAGAAGAGAGGAGGGGCAGCTGCTGTTCTCCAGGGACATCTTTTCCTAAAGGAATGTTGTCAGGCAGTAGGTAGGTTTCCTGCACCATAACTTGTTTATAGCTTTGTTTTAAAGTCCCTGGTAGTCGCAGTTGGAGCCCTATTAAAATTACTGTATTGGTTTTAGAATTACAGCTGTTAAAAATACTGGAAATAAATGTTAGTTGTTGCACCTCTTCTAACAGGGCCCTGGGGAACGCTGGTTTTCCCCTTACATCATGGAAAGCTGAGCTTCTAACATTTTTTCATGATAGCCACATGCTCTAAAAAGAAAGTATTCCAAACTGTGTTAATGTAAAACATAGCTAAGAGGTAAAGAGATTTTCCTCTGCAGCCTGGAGTGGTATGTGTTTAGGATGTCAAAGGCTGGGGTTCACTGCAGTGAACAGTTCAAGCAGCATTTTTTTCTACCCTACTGATAGAAAAATGGGTTAAGAGGTTGCTCTTCAAAACCTTTCACCAATATAAATGATTTATATTGTTAGTGAAGAAATCCACAGAAAAACATGATAAAAAAAACCCAAAAAACCACTTTTTTTCTAAGTTGTCAGTCTCCCCAAAAATACAGACCTTCTCCAACATCAAAAAAGCACTTGCTGTACCCACTGTGGTTCCAGAGGGGCTCTCTCCACATGGGGAAGCCTGTCAGCATTCCCACACCACAGACATCGTTTATCCACCAGCCTCAGACACGCTCCAGAACTCAGGAGAGTCAATTTTCCACTGCCTAGGTTAGATTTTGGAGAGAGCTCCCTGCACAACGGTGGAGCCCAGTCAGAGAGCTGCAAACGGGGAGGCAGGGGTCGTGGGGAGAGGCTGAGGGGAGGGGGCTGGGGGGAAGGCAGCGCCTGCAGGGCGGGATGGAGCCATGGTTGAAACAAGGACTCAAACTCCAAACCCCTCCTCGAGTACTGGAGGGTTCCCCCTCGGGCTGGAGCAGAGCCAGAGCCCCCCGAGTTCCAGAGAGATTTACTCAGGCCCTGCTCAGGCTCTCTGCACAGGGATGGATTTTTCCCATGGAGTCTGGTCTTTCCTGCTGTAAAGTAAATATTGATTTTGCAACAGACCTCTTAACAAAAACATTCTCTCCAGCCTTCCACCGAGGACACAGATACTGCCAGTGATCTTCATGCTCTGAATATGTCATGAGTTTACTGCTAGGCTTGCTCTTAGCTGTGGCCTCACACCTACATTTAAATAACAAGTTGCCATTTTCTATGTACTTACTACAGAGCCCAAAATAATTTTGCTAATTTTATTTTTTTTTTTTAAAGAATTGTAGGATTTCAGGCTTTATTTAAAGACTAAACCACTAAGATTATTTTAAGATCCCTCAAAACCTACATGGATTGGTTACAATTGTAGGTCTTTGGTCTGAATGGCTTTAAGAGTGTTCCTTTGCCTGATGTGTGACTAATGTCTTAATTCCAAGCCATACTTATAATTCTTCATCTAATCATGGCATCAATTTATTTATGTCTGGTCAAGAGTGGTTTGGGTTTTTAGCAGACAGGGAACAGCAAATAGATATGGATCAAACGATGGTTTAAATTAATTTGCTTCTTTAAATTTAATCATAGAATCATTCAGGCTGGAAAAGACCTTTAAGATCATCAAGTCCAAAGTTAAATTTGATTGAATTCTTCTCTGGTAGAACGTTTGAGAATGAATTAGTATCAATGCCTTTTAAAAAATGAGGAGAAATGTTAAAAAGCAAACAATTTGGAATGTGAGGCTGTGCAGCACTCCCTCTCATCACTGAGCCCACGCTAGCGTGGTGAAGATTTCTATTATGCTGTGCCAGAAGAGATCTGAGCAGCTGAAGGAGAGAACAAGGGACTCTTTTCACCTGGAAAGGGTTTGGTGAGCACACAGGGAAGAGTGGTGGTGAAAGTGCCCCGTTGTCAGCCTGCCTTTAAGTGAAGAGTGAGAGGAAAAGGTGCTCAGAGTGCCTATTCCTGGAGGTGCTCTGTGTGCCCATTCCCAGAGAAGCTCTCCCTGCCCATTTCAGCCTCTGAGGGGAAGCTGCCTGTGTGAACACCTTGGTGGGGAGCATGACTCTGTCCTCAGAAGCAGAATGTGACCCACAGCACACCTCCAGTAGGTTATCCAGCACCCTTCTGATGCCAAGCAGCGTGGGTTGCCTCAGAATTGGGCTGGGATCAGGAACCACGGCTGCTTTTCCCAGGCTGAGGAACGTGAGCTACTCCAGAGCAGTGCTCCAGCCCTCCCACAGCCAGCGTGGGGCCTGGATTCTGTGGCAGTTTCCAGCGGCGGTGTCCAAACAAACTAAGTTTGGAAACACCTACTCCTGAGAGCTGATCTTCTGCCCAACCCCTGCTTAGGAAAAAGTAAACACCGAGGAGGCAGAGCAGACGTTATTTTTTCCATAACTACGAGGGTTTGGAATCATTTCAGGTAATTCCTCCCACCTCCCCCAACAGTTAATGGCATTTGAGTGGCCCATTTGGCACAGGGAGGAGCTTCACTTTCAGAGGGAGCTGCACAAAGGATTTGGGCCATATCCTCAGCGTTTTACCCATCAATGCATGTAACAGAAGAAACCTTTCAACTTAAGAGCTTGATTCTCCTCTTAATTGTTACCGTTTGCATTAAAGGATCACCTAGAGATTTGTAGTGCTCTAAAATAGAGGATCCTTCTCTCTTGTCAGGCAGCCCATGGTTATGAAAGTCTTGCCATAAGAGCCTTCGGTTTCCTGATGGGGTTGAGATGTAATTAATAAGGTGGTGGCTGATGGTTTTCGACACCATGCTCAGCATGCTGATGTCCCTCACTGAAAGAGCAAAACCCAGGGTACTTGTCAATCTTTACTGCAAGAAAAGTGCTGATCACTAGGCAATAACTTTTATCTTACTTCAGAAACAGGCCAAGAAACAAGACGTGCAAATAAAATTTAATTACTCTTTGTCTCCTTTGCCAACAAAATGTGGTAGTTAGAAATGGATAGATCTAAGGAGTGCTTTTCACACATAACAGGCAAAAACTACTTCAAATAGTTTGCAATTATAAATTAAATTTTGGCCGTTTGGTTGTCCATACATAAAAATAATATGATATATGGACAACCAAACGGCCAAAATAATATTTATACATAAAAATTCAGAGAAGAAGTCACATAAAATGACTTCCAACTAGCTAAAAGCTTAAAAAAAATTTAAATAATCATGGCTTTTTCTAAAAGGAAAACCATCAGGGCAGTTTTCAGACGTTGGGAGTAACGATTCTCACCTGACAGGTAGTTCAGCACCATTTGGAAGATCTCTAGTGGAAGCGTTTGGAAGTACCCGAGGGCTGGCAGGGCCTGGGGGTCTGTGTTCAGGCTGCTGGAGCGGCGGCTGCCGCGGCGGTGTTTGTGCTTAGGAACCACGGGGCAGCTGCCCCCTGCCGTGGAAGTCATTGCTCTGCCCAACCTGTAGGTTTAGACTGGAGAGAAAATGAGGAAGTCTTGTTTTCAGAGGAGAAAAACACTGTACCCAAAAGCAGGCTGAGAGGAAATCACTGCAGGTGATAAAACGCGTTGGAGAGGCAGCCGTGGAGTGTGGAAATCTTGCTGTGGACAGAGGATGAATTTTGGATTTTTAAAATTTTAAAAAGCAAAGGTTGAGTTTCCTGCAGTGATGTGCAATTTGCTGAGTGATTTTCTAACCCCCTGTCTCAGAGAATGGGGTGTTCAGCTGGTTTTAGAGGAGGAAAAGATAAAAGCACTGGGGGGTGTCATAGGAGCGGGACATCAGAAAGTTGGGAAAATAGTTCTGAAAGGAAACTCTTCAGGAACTATATGTGATGGTACAAGCTACAGCAATTAGCAATATTCTTTTACCTTGTTACACTCATTATTCAACAGAATATGCAAATGTTATAGGGCTGTGGTTGAAATGATGGTCACCTTGCTTGGTTCCTCTGCAGTGATCACTATTTACACACACGCTCGCATAGGACCAAAGAAAATATTTAAAGTCACAAAATGGTGGCTCAAAACCTTTTTCCCTGCAGTGTTGAAGTTGATATACAGATTAATTTCATACAATGACTCTCTGGGTGATGTACAAAGGAATCCTACAGTAAAAATTCAGTGACACAGACCTTCCCAGAACTCTGAGGATCTGGAAAGCGATGAGCTTTAAAAAGATCAATAACTACATTCTTTAATTTGATTTCTGAGTCCCCAAAACAGGCCTGCTCCACATTGTCAGGCAACAATGAGAACTTGTGACTCACGACCTCTTAGTATATTTTTTTTTCAACTGAGATTTTTTCACACTGTTTCTTGATTCCAGCAGCTGAGGCTTCAGGGATGTTGCCAAAGAGAATGAGCTCTGCAGTATAATTACAAGAGCTGGCAGCACTGGTAGTGACTATGGGAACCCATCCAAGCTGCAGTGCAACATCCCAGTCACCAGCAGTGGGAAACACACTCAGAGAATAGAACTCATTGTTTCACAGATTAAAAATTTACAAAAATTACAGCAAACAAGCTCCAAACATCCTCTGTCTTTATTACAGAAGCACGCAAGCCAGACCTCTCTAATATGCCACGGAGCAAAATCCCCTCATCCACAAAGGGAGCCCTGTTTGTGCTGACAACTGGAAGAACAGGGGGCATTTAATTAACCACGTTACAAATGGGTCTGGCTGCCCCGGG